TATCTGAATGATATTATCATGTTTGGAAATACTTCTGAGGAGCATGACAATAACCTGCAGTCTGTACTAAACTGCATCAGCAATGCAGGCCTCCAGCTCAATAGGTCCAAATGCATATTTAGACAAACTGAACTCTTTCTGGGGCATACAATTTTACAGGCTAGACTAAAACCTGATCCAGATCATATCCTGGCAATTTCAAATGCTCCTCCTCCAACAGATTTGCTAACCTTATGTTCCTTCTTGGGTCCTACCTCCTGGTATGCAAAATTCATTCCCAATTATGCTTCTGTCATTGAACCATTACGGGAATTACTACGGAGAAGTTTCAGAGTAACAGCCGTGTTAGTCTGTATTCGCAAAAGGAAAAGGAGTACTTGTGGCACCTTAGAGACTAACCAATTTATTTGAGCATGAGCTTTCGTGAGCTACAGGAAAGCTCATGCTCAAATAAATTGGTTAGTCTCTAAGGTGCCACAAGTACTCCTTTTCTTTTTACGGAGAAGTTCTATCTTAGTGTGGACAACGGATGCACAAGCTAGTTTTGAAATGGTGAAAGACTTGATTGTACATAGTCCAGTACTTGCACTATTCAGTCGTGCATTGCCCACAATTGTAACTACCGATGCTTCTGATTATGGACTTGGGGCTGTTCTCACACAACTGCATGAGGACAACACAGAGAGGACTGTTGCATTTGCTTCAAGGACAATAAGTAATGCTGAGAGAAAATATTTTACAGTTGAAAAAGAAGCACTTGCTTGTGTCTGGGCTACTGAAAAATGGAGAACTTACCTGTGGGGCTGCACATTCAAGTTGCGCGCAGACCATAGCCCTTTGATGATGTTGCTCACCACAAAAGAACTGGGAAGAGCAGGATACCGTATTGCTCGATGGTCTGCAAGACTACTCTCTTTCAATTATGAACTGGAATATAAGCCTGGAAACCAAAATGTCATCGCTGATTGCCTTTCTTGCCTGCCTTTGCCTTCACCAGATGGTCCACCAGAGGATGAGGATGTAGTTGTTGGACTTATTACAAGCACTCTCACTGCAGTTACAAAAGAACAATTTCAAGCTGCTTGTTCAGCATGTCCAATTCAACAAAAAGTACAGGAATTTCTGACAAAGAGACGACCCAGTCACCCTAAAAACCTTGACCCAGTTTTGCTGCCTTATTTTAGAGTTTGGGAAGAACTTTCTTTGTTTGATGGCTGTGTGCTATGAGGTACACACTGGCTCCTTGTGCAAGAAGAATTACAGTCAAAACTCATACACCTGGCACACAATACTCATCAAGGAATTGTCTGAACCAAACAATGACTACGGGATCTGCATTGGTGGCCACGGATGGACTCTCAAACTGAAGCGCTCATAAAATCCTGGGTCACTTGCCAAATGCATGATAAGACAGCAGTGACATGTACCCCTCCATTACAGCCTGTTCCTCTTCCTGAACCTGCGTGGGAAAAAGTGGCGATTGACACTGTAGGACCCTTTGATACTGCTCCAACTGACTGCCATTATGCCATCACTTTAATAGACTATTTCAGTAAATGGCCCGAGGTAGCGTTTACATCGCAAATCTCTTCTGCTACAGTGATTAAGTTCCTCTCTTCAGTTTTTAGCAGGGAAGGCAACCCCAAAGAACTGGTTTCAGATGATGATAGTCAATTTACTTCCCTGGAGTTTGAAACTTTTCTAGCACAGAGGAACATTTTACACAGGTGTTCATCCCTATATTACCCTCAAGCCAGTGGGGAAATCAAACGGTTTAACAGAAGTTTGAAAGAGAGTTTGCAAACGGCTAAACTGGAAGGGCGATTGTGGATACCCTTCACTACTGATTTCTTGCAAGCATACTGGGCTACATGACAGGCCACAATGCAAAGATCACCCACAGAGTTACTGCATGGAAAACAGATGAATACTAAACTGAACATTGCTGGATTGTTAAAGGCACGACCTGATGTCCCAAACGAGGAAACCAAGCAAAGTCTAAGGCTTTCCACACACAAGCAGCGGGGTGCTAAGGAACCAAAGTTTGACTGTGGTTCCTTCGTTAGAATACGAAAAGCTGGAATTTTATGCAAAGCTAAATTCACCGCTCCTCTTAAAATCATAGAGAAGAAGGGACCTTAAACCTATTGACTTTCTGATGGGCGGGTATGAAATGCTTCTTATCTTGCACCTGCCCATGCACCAAGAGGAGATTATGCCAACACCCAGTCTGCATTGGATGACTTCACCATAGTACCAACACAACAAGACATTGCACTGGAACCGGGGCTTGAGAGACGGCCTGTCAGACCCAGACGACCACCTGTCCGGACTAGAGACTGTGTTATGTAGTATCTACAGTGTTTTCAGTGTAATATTTCTGCCAACAGTATAATGTCTTGTTTCATATTTGTTCCTGTGGTTAGAACAAGAATGTTTATTTTAATTGGGAGAGTTTCTTAAGAGAGGAGGGAATGTGGTGTTTAGATGTTGCTTGTAATTATCAGAATTGGGAGCACTGGGTGTTGGGAGTCTGATAGGACAGGAAACAGGAAGGAGGGGGGAGGAGTTGAAAGGCTGGGAGAAAGCTACAGAGGGTGCAGCAGCAGCTTGGTAAAGAGGTTTCCACTTTGAAAATAAAGTCCTGTTGAAGCTTGTTAGTAACTTGCCTGGTTGATACAACACAAAGGTACAGAAAGGTGCTGATTGAATCCCCTCAGTGTGATGCTCTTATCTCTTGCTAGCCATGGTTAGGCAACAGAAAGAGACTGAATAGCCTGCTACAGCCTTGGCTAACACTGCTGGCTCTTTGAGCTCCCAGATCCTTTCACTCCCAGATCCCTCAACCCACCCAGGGACATGACATTACACTACACTAACATAGACAAGGTCTTAGAACCAATTTTACCCCAGTTTCACACTCAGCAATGGTGGGTGCACGAATACACACAGGATGCAGGAATTCTGTGGCCATGGCAGCAGGGGTCAAGGGTAGACAATGAAACGTAACAGAACTAACTTTACTGCATATTATACACACCCAGAGAAGCCCTCAATGGATTTATGCAAGAGAAGCAGTACAATTCCTGACAACTTTCAAGCTCTTCAAACCAAACAAGGAAAGGGCAGACATTTCCAGGAAGCATGGGGAGCTTCCTTACCACAGTTACCAAATCCCTAATGAGCAGGTTGGCTGCACATCCATTTTATGTTACATTGGTAATTCAGTGATCTTACTCTATTCTCTATATTTCAGCTATTTTTGATCTAATCTATTTAAGTAGCTAATTGTTTGAGTAAGGCATTCCTAAAATGTCCATCACCATGGTATCTGAGCACTGAACACAGTAATGTGGACTCTGACAGCACTAAGAGGACATCAAAGTGGGGCCTCTTTTGCATTTTGCCTTTTGCACCTCTCCCAGGTTCTATGAAGCTTTATTTGCTTTTCCTTCTTTGCATATGTATCTGTTGAACACCCAAGTGCTTGCAGTTGTTTCTTTTAATTGCAGCAGGACATTTTTTATCTAGTTACATTTTTTAAATGCAAATACAGTAATATTATTTCTATTGAGGTAGCACCCAAACTGATGGAGACCTCTTTGTGCTCGGAACTGTATAATCATGTGATGAAAATACTCCCTGCTCTAAGACAGTTTTACAAATGATGTATTCAGGTTTATTTGATTCCATATGAAGGATGGAGGGAGAGGGATATAACTTTCTTATTAGATGGTAAATTGTTTGGGGGCAGGAGCCATGTCTTTTTGCACATCTGAACACCACCTAGGACAGTGGGACCCTAATCCTAATTAGGACCTTTGGTTTCCACTATAATAGCAAAATTATTATTTGCATGGACCTAGGGCCTGAGGGCCTACAGGCCCCAACTGGGGGGGGGTTTTTTTGTGAGTTTTACCCAGGGGGGGGGAAAATTGGGCCGGGGGGGGCCCCCCCCCCCCCCTCTGCTCCCCCCCGGGGGGGGGGGCCCCCCCCCCCCCCCCCCCCCCCCCCCCCCCCCCCCCCGGCGGCGGCCCTGCGCGGGGGGGGGGGGCGCCCCCCCCCCCCGCCCCCCCCCCCTCCTTGCGGGGGGTGGGGGGGTGGGGGGGGGGGGGGGGGGGGGGGGGGGGGGGGGGGGTTGGTTGGGGGGGGGGGGGGGGGGGGGGGGGGGGGGGGGGGGGGGGGGGGGGGGGATTCTGGAGGGGCAGTCAAGGGACAGGGAACAGGGGGGTTGGAAAGGTGTGGGGTCCCAGGTGGGGGGTGTGGTAGAAGGGAGGGAGAGTGATGGGGGGGGGGGAGGGGGGGGTGGGGGGGGGGGGGGGGGGGGGGGGGGGGGGGGGGGGGGGGGGGGGGGGGGGGGGGGGGGGGGGGGGGGGGGGGGGGGAAGGGAGTTTGCCTATATGCTCTAGACCACAGTGAGAGATGGCTCCTGCCTCAAAGAGGTTATAGTCTAAATAGACAAGACATTCAAAGAAAAAATAGTTCTCATTTTACAGATGGAGAACAGGAGATTATAGGCCAGATTTTCAAGAAGAGCTGAGCACTTCTCCCTCCAGCAGAACTCGACAGAAGCAGTGGGTACTCTGCACCTCTGAAAATCAGGCTCTTGGTAACTTGCCTATGGTCATGCATGGCGTTTGTGGCATTGCTGTGAATTGAGTTCAGACCTGCCCTGAGTCCTAGTTTAGTGTCTTAACACAGGGCATTAATGGTGGGAGAGTGCACTACAATTCGCTACGTGGATCTATCCTTCCATGGAAGGAGAATGCACTAGAGGCCTAAATTCTCAGAGGTATTTAGTCTCCTAACTTCCATTGAAATCATCCTAATCACTGAATTAGGATCTGGACCTAAGAGCCTAAAATGGTTAGAGAGAGTCTCTGTCTCTCTCTCTCTCTCACACACACACTCCTTCTCCCACCCCCAACCCAACAGGAAACCAGCCAGTACAGTAAGAACAGTAGCAATATCCTCATTTCTTGCTTTCTTCAGTCAGGACTGGGTAACAGTATTTTTCTTTTGACAAAATTGAGCACCATTAACGTTGATAACTCTCCTTCCTGAAAAGGTACAGCAAGTTAAGGAGACATGGTGGGATGTCTGGAAGCCCTCTTTGCTTGCTTCTTCCCTGGTAAGTTTACTGGACACATTAACTGTAGTGAGTGATTTTATTCTGTATTTATTGTTAACAACCAAAAACCCAACATGGGCCTGAATCTCGAGTCCAATGTAATAACTTGATGCTGGTACAATCCCAATGAAGCCAATGGCATTGCACTGAAATAAAACTGGTGTACTGAAATGGGGAAATCAGGATCCATAATCCTGGATGGTTCCTCACAGATAAAGGGTCTGATTCTTCACTGCCCTGTACCTTGTGTAATTGTTCACACCATCTTTGCCCAGGTGTAAACAGAAATTGATCATTCACTCACACTAGAGATAGAGGCTTTACCCATTTTCCCCTCACATTTACAGAGACATAAATGGCTATACAAGGTGCAAGGCAATGGATAATCAAACCCATGTACCTTCCTCAAGAACTTACAGGTTGCAAGGCCATGTACATGTTACTGCTCTCTGAAGAGGGAAATGTCTAGGTGCTGTCTCCTCATGGCTGCTTTCTCTCTTTTTGCCTTCCAGCTGTTCTGTGGGCCATTCACCTGGAGCAGGAGCAGATCTCTGTCACAAAGCAGCCACTTCAAGGCAGCTCTGCCAAATTCACTTGCAAGGTGTTTGGTGGATCGGACTCTACCTACATCCACTGGTACCGAGCCCCAGCTGGAGAGGCCCCACACAGGCTGCTGTACCTCACTCTCTCTGGGTCAGAGTTAAAGCGAGAGGCAGTCTTCTCCAGTGAGAAGTTCTCAGCCTATGGGAGACAAAGCATCTCTAACTTGTTGGTGCACAAGCTGGAAGAGACAGACAGCGGCCGCTATTACTGTGCCACATGGGATTTTACACAGTGCCACAAGCTTCCTGCAACCCTGCCCAAAAACCACCACAGCTCTGTGTGTGGGACTCAACTCTCATGTTACTGCTGCAGCAGAGCAGGCTGAGCCCTGCCCCTGGCCCAGGGCATACCAGCCTACACAACAGGCATAGCCTCAGTCCCACAAACCATGGCCAGTGTGAACTCCCATTCGGCCAGCCCAAGTTGTGTAGGGATTTGCCTGAGCCAGGGAAGTGGGAGTTTGCGCCTCCCACTAGGTAAAGCTGACATCCAGTGACTGCCTGCCAGTGCTGGCTCCATCTCTAAAGGCAGAACAAGTGATTGAGCAGTCACTACCCATTTGACTTCACAAAGCAATGGGTGACCAGAGACACTGGGGAGGGGTGAGGAATGGGGGAGAATGGGGTGGGGACAATAAATAACTGGGGAGAGGTGGGGGGGGGGGAGGGTAAAGTGAATAGGGAAGGTGAGGGGAAGACATTTTCTAGGTGGGAACAAACAGCAGTTTGCATCTCCACTGGGAATTTTCAGCACATCTCCATGGCTGGAGCTGTAGTGTACACAGAATACAGGAGTTTTCTACTCAGTTTCAGTGGCCAAACATAAAATAACTAACTTGGCTCCTCTGAGTGCACATGTGTGCCATGCTCAAGGAGTTAAGACAAGAACAGCAGCAAAATTTATAGCTTACAAGCTCTTCATTGTAAATGTGAGAAGGGCACAGGAAATCCTGGGGGGCTTCCTTCCCATGGAAAAGGGCCCAATCCTCATATTCATCTGCACTGCACTCGGTGCAAGACTGAGCTTGGTGACAAAGGTGGCTGGATGCCATCTCTGTGCCCCCATAGTGCTGGGGTCAGCTAGTGGCTTGTTTTGCTCCCACTACACCTTAGCGCATTTAGTTGTGCCCTGCAAGGAATGGCCCTAAGGAGCCATTGTGGGAGTTAGGGATCACAGTAATGCAGTACCTCCCTCTAGCCATGTCCATTACAGCAGAGTGGAAATGGAATACCTTATCCTAGGTTCCAGGAATTCCAGCCGCTCCTGAGAATGGATAGGTTTTTGGCTCACACTTATGTCCTCTGATAGCTCATTTCACCATCAATCACCTTTGACTGAGAATTTTTTATCATCATTACAAATGAGCAAATGAAACTGGTTATTGTAGTGTTGATCGATATGTGGGGCTCCTGTTAATATCATTGAATTATGTATGGTACTCACTCACATATAATTTAGAGAGTAATACATATGCATGTCACTTACAGACACTGTTCAGGATATCCAATATAGATTAATATCCATTCAAGTTCTTGGCATGTATGTTAAGGAAACCATTTGGTCCACAACAAATCATGAACATGGGACATTTACAGAAGTGTGGTCCTTACATATATATTTCCAAAGAATTCATTTACATGTAGTTAAGGTTCATAAAATCATAGAGGTTTGAAATGGAAAAGACCTATTACAGCATCCAGTCCATCTTCCTGCCAATGCAGAACTATTCCCTACAAAGTATTTTCTAGTGTTTTGTTGAGTCTAGTTTTAAAGGTCTCCAAAATGGGGCTTCCATCATCTCCTTTGACAGATGATTCCATGCCTGACTGAGATCAATGTCACGTAAGTCTTCTTGATATTCTAAGTTTTCCATATTTTCTCTGTCCTCACTGGTGTCTACAACTCAACCCAGTTTTGAATTGTATGCAAGTTTTGTAAGTGTATTGTTCATGCCATCCTCTGCATCAGTAAGGAAGATGTTTGGCATTTCTTTTTTCTTGCATTAAAGATTGATTAAAGCACTTTGAAATCCCCAAAGGAAAGGTGCTCTATCCTGCAAGATACTGAGCTATTTCCAAAAGGTAGTGGGTGATCTCATCATCATCATCTGTAGACATTAATGAGAGTTGAGAGACCTCAGCACTTCCAGCATTACTTAGTGCTTTATAGAATAAGCTCTGTATGAGCCGAGTGTTGCAGTTTATTTTTAATAGTTCTTAGACTTAGGTACAGAATTCAATCAAGTCATAATAAGATTTCATACTTGAGTTGGGTGACTGTTTTCCTTCTAGTCTCTTAACCACTATACCAGCAATTATATAATGTATATTTTAAAAAGTTATGACCCAGTCCTCAATGCAAAGTTATCCCACTGTGTTCCTCAAAAAAAACAGAATTTTCAAAGGGCTGTAGCAAGATCTGGAACATGGACCTGGGCATTAGCAGCTGAGATTTCTCAAGTCTACCTTTTTCAGAATGTGCTCCTTTCTGTAACATGGAGCAAATGGTGAAGGGAGAAAATGACACAAAATTTTTAACTGAATTAATATTGAACCATTAACACCTTATTTTGTGAAGCTACAAGATGTCTTGAGAATAAAAAGTTTATACAGCAAATTCCACCCCCCCCTTCCCTCCCTCCCCAGACCACAAACATCCTTTTAACAAAACAGGATGTGTCGCCTTTCAGCTGCTTCATCATCAAGACAGGAAACCAACAAATTGCTGTTTAAACATCTAGCAGGTTTGGATTCCAATTACTTCACCATTATTGCAATGAGCTTTTCTGTAAGCAACAACAACAACAAAAACACCCCAAGTACACTCAGAAGAATCTTTTCCCACATTTTGGTATTAGGAATGGGATTTTCATTTTACTGTTGGTGGGATTTAAAGCCATAAGGCCCTGGCCTTGTGAGTTCCTGTTGCCTGTAATGGGAGATGAAGGTGCTCAGCACCTTACAGGACAGGCCTTTTCAAGTTTCATCCAGAGCCCAGTGAAGTCAGTGGAAGAACTCCCAGCCACTTCAATGAGCTTTGGATCAGGCCTCCAGACATCCACAAACACACTCCCTGGAGACTTTCACTCACCCTTTCGCAGAGGCACTACAAGTTCTGTAAAGGGCTCTCTTCAGATGCCAAGAAGAGGGATGATGTTGATTCTTCAGAGGCAAGATTGTTTGATCAGGAATATTGTATATTTACAGCAGTCATTACAGTGTTTCCATCCTAGAACTGCATGTTTCTATAGAAACTAACTGGTAAAAATTAAAATCGGAGAACCCTATAGATTTCTATCACAAGGCCATTTAACAGGATATAAATGTGTATGAAAATAAGTGCACAGCAAATGAATTACTCTAATTGAATGTTCTTGTTTCAATATAACTGAGCTAGAGGAAGATGGAGCATTATCAGACTACCTGAGGAGTTGATTCTGAAAACCACCATCTATCCTGAATAAACCCACTTCAGTCAATGAGACTATTAATGTGAGTCAACTTACTCAAAACCTTCCTCTCCCTTGTACATCCCCATAAGAGTCAGAGGTAAGTTAACCCTTAATTAACAAGGCACGGCTCAGATAATTCTCATCATCAGCAAGAATTCTACCGGGAGGCTCTCAGTCTCATTTAAACGTCCGCACTCATCCACATCCAGTACAGCCCTCTTTGTGAGATCATTCCTGGTCTCATGATTTAAAAATAGCTGCCTGTGTACACACTATGATTTTTAAATCCTTGGAATTCAGACCAAGTTTCTCTGGATGATCAAGTTCAGGCTCCTAAATTCCTTTAGGGATCTGGCCCTAACTCCCTTTCCCCAGCTAGGTCTGTTCAAAGAAAGGTTATAAGAAGTTTGTGTTGATGGGGGAAAAAGTATATTTCCCCTCCCCGCACCCACCCCACCAAAAGCAGGGACAGTGCTGGTAGCACTCCATCTATATACTTAATCACTATGCTTTTGAAATATGGTATATTTGTTGCTATGTTTCTTTGGATAGTGTTCAAAGTATATTTAAAATGTTCCAGATTTTAAGGAGTTCTCACAATAGTTTATTGTAAAGATTAAAGGTCAGCCCTTTGTAGAGGGGCAAGGACAAGGTTTATACTGCACTTACTTCTCACTATAACCCTCAAAATAGGACTTAAGTGGGGTTAAAACTGTGTAAGGACCTTGTTCTGGCTCTCTGCACAGAGATGAAGGTCACCCAATAAAAGTTACATACTCTTGTGGAGAGGGGGGAATAGACACCAACAGATACCCAAAGGGAAACTCACAGACAGGGTGTATATAGCAACAGAATTCACAAACAGCATATGAAACCCCTTATGAAACAACGGGAATCTACTGATGTAGGTGAAAACAAAGAGTTAATCATTGAAGCATCTCTGACTTTGGATGAGGCAAAAGCCAAATTAAAGTGCAAGGACAATGTGTTTATTTAAGAGATTACTGATTTGTTTTCCTTAACAACAATTCTATCAGATCTATAAACTTGAGGGGACTCTGAGTTAAGATAAGATGAAAAATTCCTGAGTAAATTCTCCCTAGGAATTGGGGCTTATTCCAAAGCTCATTGAAATCAATTGAAGAACTTCCCATTGACTTCAATGGAACTTGACATCAGACCCTTAGTGATCTATTTTCATCACTGCTTGAAAAAGTTCTATTAGTTGCCTTTTTCATGCTGAGAGCATTATTCCTTGATCAAATCTGCTGATGTTTATGTTGGGAGGGGAGGGGGAAGGAGTGCAGAGAACCTCAGTACCTGTAACCATTGTTATAAAAATCTGATACTCTTGTTCAAAAGTTCTAAACAAGGCAGCAGTCAGAAGAGTTGCTAGATAGCATGAGGGAAGGTTAGGAGATGTTCATATATGGAACTTTTATATAAGGCAAATGCAAATCTGTATTGCCTTGAAATGCAGGGGGGGGGGGCAGGGATAGCTCAGTGGTTTCTGCAGATGAGAAATGGGGATTGTGCCAGGAGAGGGGGGTAGACGAGGTCCCTTCCAAGTCTGATAGATGAGTTCAGCTCATCTTCACTCAAGTGATCCCTCCCTTTTTCTGAGATCAGAATTCATATTCCTTTCTTTCTCAGTAGCAGGCTCATCATAACTTAGTGAGAATGTTACTACTGCAAGTTTATCTTGTTGCTTCAGTAGTTTGGTCTTGTGAGTTGATTTTTACACTCTAGGCTTCTCCATGCAGGCACCTTACTGAGCAATGACTGGAGATCCTCCATGTTCCTTCAATTTCAGATTAAATGGCATTTGTCTCTTTTCTCTGCAGACGGAGAGGCCCAAGTACTGGTACAATCTCAACTATCCATCACCAGGGCAGAAGATAGAACTGCATGAACTGACTGCCATGTTTCTGGCATAACCTTTAATAGTGCTTTTATACACTGGTATCGGCAGAGACCTGATGCAGCTCTGGAACAGATTCTCTATCTTTCATTAGGAAAACCCGTTCTTTGACCAGGATTCTGAGAAGGGAAAGTTTGAGGCAGAGAAGCAGCTCTCCAAGTCGATCTGTGTCCTGACAGTAAAGAAAATAAGCAAGAGTGATGTGGCTACCTATTACTGTGCCACTTGGGATCACACAGTATTACTAAACCATTCACATTCTGTACAAAAACCTACTTTGTATTCTCAACAACAACCTTTCAAATGCAAGAAACCACAGCTACCTCCTAATCCTGCTTCTCATAATGGAACCAGATGCAGAAACACCTTACTGGTTTCTGCAACAAGAGATAAAAGCAACACAACTGTTGCTCTCACAAGTTTTGCAAACAGTAAGATCCCACCTGTCTCTGCCAAACAACAAGACCAAGTAGTTGCACAGGGCAGCTAAATTTTCAGTTGCTCTTTATGGGTGACAAAGGTTTGATACGGGTGCACAGTTACCAGTTTGCATAAGGGAGCTGACTCTATGATTGAATTAGGTCAAGATTGGACATTCCTTGAAACAGGAAGGACAGGAGAGTCAGTCCAGGGAGTTCAATCCAATATGCAGATCTAATGAAAAATCTCCTGGTTACTGACAGTATGGAGGATTAGTTCGTCTAACACCTGGTCCATAAACTCATTTTAATACTGCCTACATATTCCAGTAACCTTTATGTAGTTAGTTACTCAAGTGCACTGGAAACTAGACTGCTAGTGTAAAATATGTTGCAACACTGCTAGAGTAGAAACAGGAAAAAGATTCAAGCTATTTAATTAGCATTTTACCAGCGAAGAGCTTGTTAGCCCAGCAGATGCCTGCTCATAAAACCACTAAATTCAGTTCTAAAGAACGGTTTCATACTTAGTCTGTGATACCAGTTTATTAGATGACATGTAATCTAAAAGTTATGCTCTCCTGGAGCAGATATTTCTATCTAGCCATACATGTGAATGCACCTTATGAGCAAATAGATGATTAAAGTCCCAGCCCCACAGAGCTGATCCCCTAAACTGAGAGGAGTTACTAGAGAAATGTGGATTAATGCTTGGATAGATAACGAAGGAAGGAAAACAAGGACTGCAAGTGATGTGACATCCCTTTAAAACAAACAAACAAAACAAAACAAACAAACACCGCATGCAGCACCAAGAGGAATTAGGTTTTGAAGGCCCATGGAAAGAGTGCATTTTGACAGAAATTTTGAGGGGAGATAGTGAAAACATGACCGATTGGAACAGGGTATAATGGTATAAATGTGAACTAGTAGTGGTATAGTGTAGAACGTTACAAGCAATTGTTATATGCTCTAATTAACTGGAGGCTGTGCAGGGGTGTGTGTGCGCTCATGCACACTACCGTCTAGTGGATGGTTCTAGATTTGCTCAGCTATGTGACTTAGGGCCTATACAGCTAAACAAATTCCTTTGTGTGGGGGGGAGGGGAGATCATGCTGTTTTATTCTGTGTTTAATAGATAAATGAATTGTCGGTTCACAAAAATGGCTCTTGAAATATACAGAACATCACCTTCTTGGTGGCCCTTTGATCACTAAATGAGAGCTGAACAGAGTCCTTCTCTACTTCAAGCAGAGTTCTCTGCAGTGGATTAGTCCTCACTGCAAGACAATAAAAACGAATATTGGATAAAAGAAAGAAGTTGCTTGTAAATTAATTGTACAAGACACCTTCAGGTATAAATTGGCCCCTTTTCAGAGCTGGGATGAAACTAAATGTCCATGAACAGGGCCATCCTATTTCAGTACAGGGCATTAGTACACATATTATGAGCACTGTTATGAGTAATGAGACGTAAAATGGCCAAGTATCACAATTAAGTAGGAGAAAAACTGAAGAATTTAAGACTGAGAAATACACTACAGCTCAATTCTGCCAGATGCTCAGTGTCTCCAGAAACGTCATGAACACCATCAACTTCCACTGGTATCCATGCGATCTGAGGGCACTGACTCATTCTCTCCATCAGGAAAGGCTCAGCAGCTTCTTTGGGCAAGTGATAAGTGAATGACAGAAAGACAACTACAGTTTTAACTGCACGGTCAGCAGCTCTTGTCCTCCCCCATCTTGTCCACCACCTGCCTATTCAATTCTCCAACAAGTTTATACAGGCTTTCTTCCATACTGTCACATACTCATGGAACAGGGCCCTTGTCTCATCTGGAAAATCACTACCTTCTCCTCTGCAAGATCCACAGGATGTATAAGAAATCTGCTAACACACAGTGACTGAAGCTTTAGGGGTGAGTGAGGAGAAAACAAAAAACAGTGTATTTGTGCATAGACAATGACATGGTAAAAAAAAATATAGAAAAAAGGGGTTTTGAAGTTTCCCTTTCCCACAAGCTTGAGAGGTCACTCCTTTTATAGGCTGTCAGCAGTGTGAGGCAGGACTTTGCCTCTTTGTTTTCACCCTGAGCCTAGATCCAGCACAGTATCTCAGGTTGCTACTGTAATATAAGTAATAAACGCCAGTAATAATAATCATGAACACTGATCCTGAAACACACCCAAGTAATCTATTTGACGCCCATGCTTGGGTTGTCACTCACCCAGGGTGAAAGTTGTCATACTAAGCAGCAGTAACTATCTCAGCTTGCAATAAATCTTCTTCAGCCAGTACCACTTAACTGAGATTACCTAAATGAGTCACTTCCTCTCCCCGTCTACATCTCTCTCTCCATTCAAGACCATCATTTACATACCTTGGCTGGAGTTCTAACAAGGGCAGGAAGAATGTTGTTGTTAGAGACGTTTGTTCTGGCTACGGTTTGCTCCTGCAAGTGTGTTGCTTGCACTTAGGGTGACAAGATAGCAAGTGTGAAAAATTGGGACAGCAAGTTTGGGGGGCGGGGTAATAGGCACCTATATAAGACAAAGCCCTGAATATCAGGACTGTCCCTTTAAAAATCAAAAAGAAAAGGAGTACTTGTGGCACCTTAGAGACTAACAAATTTATTTGAGCATAAGCTTTCGTGAGCTACAGCTCACTTCATCGGATGCATGTAGTGGAAAATACAGTGGGGAGATTTATATACACAGAGAACATGAAACAATGGGTGTTACCATACACACTGTAAAGAGAGTGATCAGGTAAGGTGAGCTATTACCAGCAGGAGAGCAGGGGAGGGGGAGGGAACCTTTTGTAGTGATAATCAAGGTGGGCCATTTCCAGCAGTTGACAAGAATGTGTGAGAAACAGTGGGCAGTGGGGGGGAATAAACATGGGGAAATAGTTTTACTTTGTGTAATGACACATCCACTCCCAGTCTTTATTCAAGCCTAAGTTAATTGTATCCAGTTTGCAAATTAATTCCAATTCAGCAGTCTCTCGTTGGAGTCTGTTTTTGAAGCTTTTTTGTTGAAGAATTGCTACCATCTTCAGCGCCAAACTAAAACCTCTCCAACGCATCATCAAGGAGCTACAACTTATCCTGAAGGATGACCCTTCACTCTCACAGATCTGAGATGTAGATGTGCAGATGAACGAGCCTCTGATAGTGTGGCTGATGTGATTAGGCCCTATGATGGTGTCCCCTGAATAGATACGTGGACACAGTTGGCAACGGGCTTTGTTGCAAGGATAGGTTCCTGGGTTAGTGGTTCTGTTGTGTGGTGTGTGGTTGCTGGTGAGTATTTGCTTCAGGTTGGGGGGCTGTCTGTAAGCAAGGACTGGCCTGTCTCCCAGGATCTGAGAGAGACAAGATCACATGTTCTTGTCAACTGCTGGAAATGGCCCACCTTGATTATGACTACAAAAGGTTCCCCCCCTCCCCCGCTCTCCTGCTGGTAATAGCTCACCTTACCTGATCACTCACTTTACAGTGTGTATGGTAACACCCATTGTTTCATGTTCTCTGTGTATATAAATCTCCCCACTGTATTTTCCACTACATGCATCCGATGAAGTGAGCTGTAGCT